TCTCTTTCAGGAAGTTTTCCTATTCCTCCCCTAATCCATTTATGATTATTTCATCCTAGCTTTCCCTCCTCTGAGAGCATCCTGGAAGCTTCCACATACTTGTCATGCTCCACCCTCGCATTCCCCCTCGCACATCTTTAAAAAAAAAAAGCCACAACAGAATATGAAAGCAGTCTCTGGTTATACAGGGCTATCATATGAACTGTTCCTATCCCTGCCTTTGCACAACTGGATTTTTTCCTCTGAATTCTGTTCACATATTAGATGTTTATTCTACCTTCAGGTAAAATCAAATTACTTATCTGCAGTCTGATAAGGTGCCTAGGTATCACTGCATAATATCCATACCATCTTCTTTAGTCCAAGTCTGTTGGCAACAACCTTCAGTCATCATTTAAGAATCCTGTCCTAATAGCTCAAGCTTAAATTTGAGATGTCTTCAAATGCACCAATCTGCACCTCAAGTAACTCTCCCTTTATGTGCAACCAGCATGGTCAGGCTTCTTCTGTCAAGCTTGTCACTACTTACAGCCAAACTGTTTAAATGCTTAGAGAAAACAAATGCAACACTGTCAGTGGCAATTAGTCAAAAGAGGAAAATGCAAACAAAATCTCTTTCTTAGGCAGGTATTCTTGATACAAGGCAGCTGAGGATTAGATAGGACTAGTGGAGCACCTAGAAAGGCCTTAAAACTGATCTATCCTACAGACTACTTTTTTACTCTACAGAAAATGCTCAGAAATAACACCTTGAAGTGGCATCTCAGAAGTATATTTAAAATGGCGTTCTCCATTTATATCAATCTGCTTCCTGTAGCAATATGTATAGCACTACAAACCATTTTAAGTCACTTGAATTAAGTTGGGTTTTTTTTTTTTGTAATTTTCTTCATCTATGTAATATTAAACATAAAAACAGTCCACACAAGAAAGCACACTGTGTTAAAAGTAAGGCATGCTGGAAGAGTAGAGATATTGTATCTCATCCCCCCCAAAAATACCAGCTGAGTTGTGGGAAAATACCTGAAAGATCTCTAGGTATCTCAATTGTTCCATTAGCATACATCCACTGTAAGACATCACACTATACATTTACAAAATACTGACTTTAAAGTACATCAGCATCTGACTTTCTATGGCCACACAGGCTGAAGAGGTATCAAGCTTTGAATGATAAATCACTTAAAGCCAAGGTTTTCAAACTCTAGTTTTCAAAGGCATAAAAGAGATTAAATACTCAAATTGCAAAAAGGTTAGCTGCAAAGACAATTAATACATTTCAAGTGTCAGAGGCAAGTTAAGTGACAAGATTAAAAGGAAGGGTTACTCCTGCAGACTGATACACAGGTTTCACTGATAACACTCAGTTTTCAGTTGCTCGTATTTCTGTGAACAGCTAAGCAAAGCAAGGCCATGTTTTTTTCCTCCAAGCAGTCAGTTTCTCTCTCCATACCCAAGTCCTGATAGTGTCTAGAATACAGAAAGCAATTTGTCCTTTGTGGCCAAGACTAGAGTCCTCAGCCTATTCTATACAAAGATTGCTTGCTTTCTTACTCTTTCACACCCAAAAGCTTTATGTTGTTCAAAGCCTTTTGTAAGCTCTTCTCTTCAGAAACTTCAAAGGTTAAGAAACAGCTTATGTTCTCTTAAACAGTCATGCTTCCCATCAGCATTATTCCACATTACACCTGAAACATCAGCTAAGTAAGTCACTTCCCCAATGCCCTCTCTGGCATTACGCCCAAGTCTTTCCTTGTCATGCCTTTTTTTTTTTGTCTGCTACAGTTAATAGAAATAAGAGTTAAATCATAGTTCACCATGCAATTACACTCTGTCCTGTTACATTATAGCAGACAAAACAAGCCATATTAATTTTTTGGGGAAAAAAATCAAGTTATTTCCATCATAACTTTAAAAAGTGTACTAATTTAAACAGGTGGCTTAACATAAAATGAGAATCAAAGAAGTGGGAATGTTTGCAGCATAACAAAAGAACAATTAAAATCAAACTCACCTTTGGAAGGTAATCACATACCAGGTAGTATCAGGGATTTTACTCATGCATACTTAAAACATTCACAACTACTGAAAGGATGAAATTATAGCATGGTGATTACATGGTTTGTGGTGGTGGTGAAGGTGCTATAGAAAGTTTTTATAAGTCACCTGCCTCTCCTTTTAAAGAGTAATATTTATTATACCGTTTATGGAGAGTTTCCTGCTAAAGAAGTTTTTTAGCTAGTTACTTTAAAATTGTTTACTGAACAAGCAAGTACTCTGCAAGGTCAAGTAAATGCTTACCTGTGGCAGGCCTGACATTTACTCTAGCAGACTGTTCCACTTTAACAGTTCCATTAAGTGAGAATATGTAATAAAACCACCAAAAAAAAAACCAACACAGTCAGGAGCAGCTCATCCAGTTCTTTACTTTTGTCCATAAAGCTGTGAGATGATAGAACAGTCCAATTTAGTTACAGATTATTTTTTAAAACTATTTTGTTAGATTCTGAAGTAAAGTTCAAAGCACTCAAGTTCAAAGCACAAGTGAACCTGCAAAGTAACTTGCTTGCCAGACTTGTAATTCTTTGATAATTACTATCTTCAGCAAGCTGGAAAAGAAGGCTATTTTAACTCAAAAGTGACTTGTTAACTTTATTGCATGGTAACACTCTGTATGACATTATTCACCTTAATTTTAACATTTCAAAGTGAAACTAAAACTCAGGAGGAATGCCTTACTTCCACCTGTTGCATTTACACTCCTTTCTCTGTTTTTCTCTTTGGGCTGATAAATGGTACACTTCTAAAATAAACCCTAAACATTATGTTGTATGAAGAGCAATAAGAGATACTGAGTACATCTGCTAACAACTGAATTGCAAAAACAGGGAAAACTCTCATTCTTTAGAATAGCAGTTGTGGATTTATGGTGTTTCTTTTGTCTTCACTAAATCCCAAATTTTAGCTCTCTGCTCTGTCTGGATAATTAAACTTAATGTGACGCAGCAAGTTAAGGATTCTAGGACAGTTTTTTTTCAGGTCTTCAGACAACGACAAGAGTTATGCTTGCTTGAAAATTTTATTGACACAACTGTTTGGTCCCAACACACAAAACAGCACTTGAGCCACAAAAGAAAGTGTCCAAACAAAGTAGACAGCTAAGAAAACAATTTTTTCTTCTCTTTCCCATTCCAAGAAAAAGATAGTGCATAAATTGAGGGCTTCAGTGACATTTTTCTTTTTTTAAACAGACATTAATCTGAAGTAGTACATTTAATTGTTAAATTAAAGAATTTCATGGTTGTAATGCTTTTAAATCTGTAAGTCAAGTCACATCATTCATTTAACCCTTTGGATAAAAAAATATATTGCAATTCAATTAGCTATTTTGTTACACTATGAACACAACTTCTCAAAAAGTATTATTCTATTACTTTCAAATAGCGATTTCATCAGAATCACACATGAATCCAGAAAAGATATGCTGACCTCCATAAATGGTATAACCACCACACTCACTTGGCTAAATACCGTATTTTCCTCTGAAGCAAAAACCTGGTTTTCTTGAGTACTCCAGATGACTTGTAGCTGCATCTCACAAAAATACAATTTCAGGTTGGTCTTTTCTCCAGTGCATTCTCTTCTGAAACAAAAGTCTAGACTGATCAGTGTTAACCTTATCAAACTTAAGGTGAAAGCAGATGTTCTTGCATTTAACTCATTAAAAGCATTCTAAGAAAGCTTACTTCTAAATTTCCCTTTCTAATGCAGTATGTCTATAGAAGTTTACTAAGGACTCAAAATACTGTGCCATAATGCTCAGAAAAACTTCCAAGTGTTTCTCTGCATTCACAATGGCTATAAGTTCACTACTGATAATACTTGCCTAAATTTAAAAGATTTTATAACAAAATCTGACCAGTAAAATTCTGTCTATAGCCATTATTCAGTGGCATTTCCTGTTGCTGGCCGAGAAATTAGAGCCCTTGTTCCATCTTTTGTATATTACAATAGAATCCACCTAAAAAATACTCAGTTGGCCAGTGGAAAGCCTCTAGTATATGTTCTTTCAATACTACAAGCAATTTATTTGCTGCCTGGCAAATACAACCCATTGTAAATGCCATGGTTACCCAGAATGGGTATAAAGTCTCATACACCGGACATTTCTGCTAACTAGAGTGAAGGTCGTCCACTGACTTAACCTCTCTTCCAAAGCTGGCCCTTTCAAAAGCCAACACAAGATACCACAAATTGAAAAAACCTTCCAACACTAGGAGTAAGTTTTAGAATAAAAACAGACACAGCTAAAAGACAGCACATCAAAGAATAAGCTTCCCATTTACTCAACATGCTTAAAAATAGGAAACAAGGTTAAGCAGAACAACCTTAGCATTTCCACATGTAGTTAGAACTTTCCTTACAGGTGGAAATAGCATCAATACCTTCTATCACAAAACATTTTAATAAGACCTGTCCCATTATCTGTAATTTATGCATTAAATGCATATTCCAGAAATATCAGAATCCTTCTAGCCTAATTTCTAGACACAATAAAATGTGTGTGTCCGTATCTTAAACTCATGACACCAAGACAGTCTCTCCCTTAACCAAATCCATGCCAGACTGGAACTAAATATAAAAGGGAAGCTTAAAGCATCAATGTCCTAGAAAGCTCCAAAATGGAACTGAAAGCTACAGAAAACATTTAAAACAAGTTTTACAAAAAATCCACATAATCTTCTATAGACACCTTTAGACAAAAGAATTTCCAATGCAGTTACAAGTCATCTGAAAGGTCAGAGAACAAGTTTCTCCTCTGGAGTACAATCAGCTCCCTACACTTCTGTCATTTCAGATCAGCAAGTTAAAATTTCTCAACAGGCTTTTGAAAGACAGATCATGCATTTTATTAATACTGTCTGAAACAAGACCAGTAAGCAACAGCCTATAGAATACAATATGCTACATGTATGATTACACCACCACCAAGGTTTAAAGAAAATAAAATCTGTTCCATTTTAGTTGAATTAATATTTTGCTTTTACTGAACACACATTTATGAAAAATTGTAAAATTTAAGAATAATTTAACAAATGCCAGAAGTTTTTTTTCAAAATAATAGAAAAAAAAATCTGTTCTGCTAACGGCTGTGTTCAGTGCAAGAGGAACAAAATCTTCACAGAATACGTTAAATACAAATTAATTCTTCTAAGCCTTTCATTAAAACACATAAGGGCTAGCAAATAGCTTTACTTTGTGCAGACTCCATAGGTATTTGTCTTTCACGCTAAAAAGAAAGAGTTAAAGCTTGGTTACAGGGGCAAGTGAAAAGTTTGCTGCCAATTTCACCTTGTTTTTGTGTTGCTTTTTGGCTGGGCTGTCCATTGCTTCCTTGTTTAGTTGGGTTTCAGAGGACTGACAGGGAGGCACTGAAGCATTCTCTGTGGTGTTAGATATCACAGAACCAGAAGTCAATTTTTCTTGAGCTGTGGTAACAATTCCTTGTTTTTCTTCTTCTGTTAAAATCATTATCTCTAAAATAAATAAGACAACTCAATTTATTGATGCTCTTGAAAAATATTCTTGAAAAATAAATAATATTTCTCTAGTAATAGACAAGAAAATATTTATGAAGAACTTGTCAGCCTGATTTGAAGCCAGATGTGTCATGTTCACCTCCTCAGCTGATGTGATGTTTGCTTCTGGCTCTGTCTGCATCATGTACTATTTGGAAGGTTTAATTTAATTCTCACACATTAAGTCTCTCAGTGCTCATAAAAGCACCACAAAATTCCTGTGGTGAAAAGGTTGATACAGGTTGGCAAAATGCAGTTTTATTGGTGGATAAGGGCCCTATAAAATTCACCCCAGAGAATCACAGCAGGGTACTTATGGTCAGTACTCAGGAGTTTCTGACGGAAGCCACGTGCATTTCCAACACACCCCATTGTGCAATATATACACACGTATGTATTTAAATGGAACTTTTATATAATAAACCATTTCTTTGAAAGTTTGTTTTCCAAACTGCATGAGTTATCATCCATAAGTAATACAACATATGCAAGCTAACTCTCACCAGAGAGAGGTGCAGGGCGTTCCTCAAACTGAATGAGGTCTGCAGACTCAAGAACCACTGGATCGGGGCGCAGTTGTGGGGATGGTAGGCAGGAAGGAACTGGCTCACACAAGAGGTCAACGGGAGATGTATTTGTGAGGCAAAGAAGTTCTTGCTCAGTTTGATTAGAAACTACAAGAGTAAAGGAACATCTTTCAAAGTATCTGTAAGCTGTGAAGGTGTCACTGTTTCAGAGCTGGTAAATGTGAAGTATTCAGATGCAATTCTGAGGACTTGAGAGCTATGCTGTATTTGAAATACTAATAACAAACTAATTTAGTTAATGCTAACTAACCTCAGATTCGTTCAAGAGTTACTTTGCTAGATCAAGAGCATCTAGCTACTCACAATACAGCAGAGAAAGCAATAGTACGTTAAACCTATTGCTTGCCTGAGTAAGCATACCCCTATAGTAGAATCTGGTATTTGCCAAACTAGAGTAATAGAAGAAGAGCTGAGGAAACAAGTCCTACAGGAAACAGTCTTTAACAAAGAAGGACTAGTTACCAGACAACTCTCCTACAGGCATACCAATATCAACTATTTATGCACCATCTAACACTTTTACATGTGAAAATTAAGCTGAAAGTTTCAAAATAAAGTGACTTGGCCTTATATAAAAGGGACAAGCTTAGACTTCTGAAATAACTCAGGAACCATTCCACAGGTTCTCCAACCTGCAGGTAGTAAAAGAATTGGAGACCACAGCAAGATATGAACTATGATGTCACCATTTCCCAGGTTTTTTTATTTGGGGACAGATTTATACCAACAGGACTGCCATTATTATTTGCAGTAACAGAACAAAATCAACACAAAAACACTCTTTTGAGATGGCTATATTCTCATCAGAATACAGGAGACATTCTTAGCAGAAGCTGCTACTGACCATCTTTTCCTCATTAGCTGTATGCTTATAGACTTCCACTAAAATCCATGGGAAACACTACTCTGGCCACTATATAGATATATTGACAGCTAAGGGCAACAGATGCTCTCATCAAGAGGACACATGCTTAACTATATACTTTGGGAGAAGTTCAACAGCTTTCAAGCCATAAAGCATTTCTACAGAAGTTCAGATTGACTAACTCACACAGCTTTCTCCGTGCTGTTTTGATTACTCTGCTTATTTCCTTTAATATAATAAGTATTAAAATCAATTTTGCATTACCATTGCTAGGTGTTCCTAGACTTAGTTCCATTGATGAAGCAGATCTTGGGGTCTCCATAATATGCCCATTATTGTCAGCAAGTTGATTTCCATGATCATCCACATGATCAGCAGGGGGAAAACTAGGTGAGCTAAAACGGGCTACAAAAAAGCAAGTTCATTTGGTTCATTTACTCACGTCACATCTTAAAAAAAGAAAAAAGGAAACAAAGATACTGCTCGAAATTGAAATGGCTTACTTTTCATATCATTCTTTAGTACCACAATTCTCTTATGGCCATGTCCTTTAATCCAGACCACCTATAGAGGGGAAAAATAAAGCAGAACTAAACATCGGCACATACTAAGCTCAAAACCTAAAGCACCTTACTCGCTATCTTTCATCTAGCCTTCCACTGATGTTATTTCTAAAAGTAAACTAAATCATGTTGCTAATTTGTACTACCAACCCAAGTAAAAGCTTTGTCTCAAAATAACTGATGCCAAAGGCAAACTATAGGGCTAGAAAGTGTACTAACTATGTATTAACAAAACTATACATTTAAACATGGAGTTGCAAAATTCCATTTTGTCACTATCCAGAAAGATAACTTTACTTCAAAGAAAGCTTATAGCCATAAACTGGGTCACAATATTATCCTAGAGGACTTTGGACATGTGTAATGACAAGAAGATGCCACAAGCAAAATTCCACTATGTGGCATTTCTGACAAGGCCTCACAACTCTTCACTCCTAAAACCAATAATCTACCCTGACTAAAATGAAGCTTCAGTACTGTACAGTTGTTCATTCACTAAAGAGAGAAATCAATTATCTCACTTGATAAAGATGCTAAGGATGTTTGCAGCTTCACCAGGAACAGTTCTTAAGCAAAATTTGACCAAAACATGTTAAAAACATTTTCTTTTTCTTATTACCAGTCCAGATTTCTCAGAAACTATTAAATCTACAACTGGTATAAGCCTCCTTGGAGAAGCTAGTTATTCCAGTAAGTCACACCAATTAACAGAAACCACAGTTATGTAACTATTTTTAATCCATGCAGAAATCTCAATGTAATTGTGCAAAACAGAATTCTTCACACCTGTGGAATTGCTCCCAAGAGCTCTTCTAAACTATTGCATCCATATGCTTTAGGTTGAAGCACTTCTCCTGTGTATTTGCTATATGCTACTGGGAACTCATGAAGAAAAATCTGCTGATAATGGTAAGTGTGAAGTAAGGACCTTACATTCTTTGCAAACATATACAGATTTGTAAGCTTCACATATTCTTCTGCTGCACCATTGGTAAAAACCTTTTAGAAAAAACAGGGAAAAAATTAGAGTGCATAATTCTGTATCCTCTAGTCACAATATCTTTTCAAAGTATGAAGCACACCACAAAGGAAAAAGAACTTGCATACCTCAACCAAGTAAGGCAGACTCTTCAGGAGTTCAGTTAAGGTCATAAATCCATATTCACATGGATTAAGTGAAGTACTATGGATTGTTTCATAATGCTGTTTAAGCTGTTCAACAGAGAGAAAGGATGTTCCATCCCAGGACATCAACAAGACTAGCAATTGGGCAGTCAGAGTCCGCAGAGATTTTTTATTTATCAGCTGAATTTGCTTGCCAGACTCTGTGTCAACAACCTAGAAAAATGAATTGGGAATGAAGTTAGGGAAGAGGGTAGTTTTGTAAGTTGTATAGCTGGGGTTTGAGCACAGCTGTATCCAATATTACATACCAGCATCTGATACTCCCCTAACCAAAAGCACACAGGATAGAGAAGCTTATTACATGGAAAAATTTACTTTAAATCTACAAAAGCTGTGTATCAGTTTCTGTCCACATGGTAGACATGATTTTACTCTTCTTTCCAAGCCAGCTGGACCTGATTGAGGTCCAGCCTGAACACCAGCTGCTAAATTAACAGAATTGGAGCAATTAAACCCGTATGCCCATGTCCATGTAGATGTAATCTTTCTTTGCCACTGACATGTAAGACCATCTATGTATTTACACTCAGAGTCAAAGCCTCAAACCATAAATCAGGAAAATGAGGAATATAAAACATTAGGAGACTGATAACTACTACGGTTATCAGGAAATGGTATGAGAAAATCATTACTTCTACATACTTAGAAGTCAGGTGGGAAAAAATTTGTACTATTAAAATAATAATACAGTCTTTTACTTATTATGTGCTATACAAGCACGAGCTTTCCTAGAGAAAGTTGAAACGTTACAAAAGAACAAACAGAACATCACAGGAATATAGAAGCTACATTTAAAATCCCTTTAGAATTCCCCCCCGCCCTGACTTAATGAAATAGTTTCTAGAGTACAATATTAAGCGTACTGAAACCTGAAATTTGAGACAGGAAATTCCTTAACACAACACTGCATTCCTTTTAGAGAGATAAAACTACAAAGATTAAAAAATTACCTTTACAACATGGCAAAGTTTTTGCATTAAAGCTGGAACTGAGCTAACATCATAATCATGAAGACGCAGTGTGTATCCAAATGTTTTACTGTACTCTGTCAGTAAATCAGTCATCATAAGGCAGTTGTCTTTCTGAGACCGCAGCAGTTTCACAAACTGGGCAGCAACTGCTTTGACTTGTTCCACATCTGTGAGTGTGAGAATTTTCTCCTCCCCGCATTCCAATACCTACAAAACAGGAATTACACTTCGTTAAAGTGATTTACCTGGATGAAAAAAAGTGTAATCTGCAAATAAAATTCATTGCTTGCAGGCAATCATTTCCTATGCAGAAGGACTTGGGTACCTCAAAAAGATACCTATATAGCAAGCAAAACTATGCAATTTCTTAAATACAATAAAATAGGCAATTAAATAGTTATAAATCTTTTTTAAAGCAAGTTTAACAAAACTTTAATGAAACTTAGCTCCAAGTTTGATGCACTATATTTTGTAAAATAATCCAATTAAAAAAAAAAAAAACTTTAATTTGTTGACAAACTTAGCCTGAATATGCTAAAAATCTTGGACAATTTTACCAGAATTAGCTATATCAAAGACTTTCTTAAATACAGCTGCCTAACATTACAGGTCCACAGTTTATAACTCACACTAAAGTTAATGAGAACTATAACATCTGCTGAAACAGTTGTACAGATCTCAGAAAAATGCTTTAGTACAGGCTTAGGGTTTTAGAACTTACAAGTAAGACATCTGGTATGGCTTCAAAGAGTTCAAGTAGTTTTGTAAAACCATAGTAAGCAAGCTTGCACTGACGACCAAAGTGGTGGTGATAAGAAGGAATAAATTTGTTGAAGGGCATTCGAAAATGGGGTTGATGGCGCAGTAAGTCTACTACCTCTTTAGAAAACTGTTTAGTTCTTTCAATTTCTTCTTGTGTACGTTCTAAAATTAAAAAACAAAGCAAGAGCTACATAGCAACACACTTAAAATGCAACAGAATGTAAGAAAATATGGTGATTGATTTTCAGCTCAATCACATACCACACCAAGTCACTATTTTCTTCTACCACTGAAGACCTCTACTAAGCTTACATTCTTAGAGTCCAAGATAATCAGGCAATCAGCATGTTAGAAGATATTAAATACCTAAATATGTTGGTATTTTTGCTGTGTGGAAACATCCCACTCTAATAATTCCACAGAAAGTTTAGCTATGTGCAGAAACATTAACATAGTAACATTATTTTATGTGTTTTGCCACCTGCTTTCCTGTCTGTTCCCTTAGAAGTGTTCCTAGAATGACAAATTCTTTATTTGCCAGAAATTCATAACTTAGTCATAAAAGTAGAAACACAATTATAAAAAAAAAATCCAAGTCACTCCTATATATTTTAGTTAGTACAATTTTAAAGTAGTCAAAGAACAATTTATTTGGCAACAATAAAAAAAGTACATGGACATACCTCTTTTGGGAATACAAATTACCATTTCATTGTCTTGCTGTGACAAACAGATGGTCGTATCTGGAATTTCTGATATAATATCAGCCAGTTCACACACTCCGTACTCAGTAACATCCCAGTCCTTAGAGAAACACCTGAACATTTTAGAAAAAAATTGTATTACACAAGTATTAATGGATGCTGTGTAGGCAAAAAAATGTTTAAGTTGAGAATAAACCTCCAATCTTTAAAAAAGTAAACATAATTTTCATATTGGCAATACTAACATCTGAAACAAAGGGGAAAATTAGTCTTAGTTCAAATTATCTATCCATTCTAACCAGAAAAATAAGATACATTGATGGTTCACATGAGACTGCAAAAAAGAGCTGTATAAACCAAACAGTGGATGCCTCAAACTAGTCATGGTAAGTGACAATATAAAGTAATATTCTTAAATCACTTAAAACTTGAGCTTGAAAAAAAGGTAATTATGTTATACAGCTCCATATGGCTACCCTTTCAGTCTGTGTTTGCTTAATAGTCACAGACATACACTCTTCTTAAACAAGATCAAATCTCAAGAGAAGGCAGAGACCATATCCTGGAAAACACCACATTAAGGTTCACAATACTATGTAATATATTAAAAGGTATTTTACTCTCCCTGTCTCCCCGACAGGAACATCTCAGAAGCAAGAACACTTCACATATATTCTTATTCAACAAGTGGCCAGAGCTGACTACAACGGAGATGCACATTTGGTAGATTTAGAAATAACCAATAATATATTGTTGCCAATAGTGGAAATAGAAGTACGCATTCCCAAAAAGGAGCTGTTGGGCACATGCAGCACAATAGCACACATGCAAAGGTAGACCACATATAGGACTAAGATGCTTCGGTTTCCTCAAAGCACACAAGTACTATTTTCTATCTTCATATTAGGGAAATAAATCTTGATTCTTAAACAACCACCCTTATTTTTTACCATGCTAGGACAGAATGTTCTTCCTAGCAATAGCAAGACAGGTATTACTCCTCATTTTTGCACCACTGCTAGCTCTAGTTAAAGAAGTAACAGTATCTATTGACAATCAGTCTATTTATTTTATATTTTCCTCTAAAGAAAGCCTAACACTAACTTTTCTCTCTGTTATTCACATCAACATGCCACAACCTGCTTGCTTAAATCCAACCTTGCTGTAATGGCTTCAAAGAGAACTAATGAAATACGATAACCCATTTCGAACTCCAATAAAGCTAAAAGTACTACAGGAAGCAGTAAAGTCTGCCAGAGAGCTTTTACTTTTTGTTTTCATTAGAAGTTTGAACATCCACCTCGCAACAAAGAGGCAATATAGTTGCCACAGTTTTGTATTAAAATCTGAAGTGCTGACTTCTCTTGTAATAGGTTTTAAAGCCACCGTTGATATACATGCCCTGCACAGTTGTTCTTTCACTAAAGAAAACTTACCAGTGATAAGCCTGTAAGAATTCCCTCACAATAACTTGCTTACTGGCCTGGGATTTGAGAAGTTTCAGTAAGTCTTGAGTAAAGCGCTTCACTTGAGCTCTGTGCGTTAGAGTTAACAAGCGTTTGGAACCCATACCAAGAATCTGAAAGAAAACTTTATTTGACCATTCACATCTAGCATCTTCAGTAAATTCTTTTACAAAACATTTAGAAGGCAGTTCTAGTATAGGTAAGCTAGAAATAAAGGATGTAATGAAGACAATGTCTGGAAAGGCAGCCTCATGAAGTCATACACTTTCTGTACTAAGGCATATGTCATCAAGAAATTAAATGCTTCCTCCATGAGTGCTATTGCAATTGTTGCGCATTTGAATTGGTTATTTTAAAATTCTACAACCAACTGATGTTCAAAGTAGTAAGCTAATGTGACCATAGCGTTTCTTTTTTGTAACATAAGGCCAAATGAACAGCTTCAGAGAAATCCTTCAAGTCACAGGCTACACATCACAGCCCAACTTAGAGGCACTAAGGATTTGCTGTGTTCTTATGATAAACAGCACAACTAAAATCTTTTACCCAAGCACTAGCCACAGGCTAAAACCAGCTTCAACCTTTATTCCAGACGCTTAGATTAAATAATTAATAATTTACTTCCCCAGAAGCTGTTTTGGACAGGTGGGGGCAATAAACACAACAAAACAGAAACAACATCGCAAAAAAGATGAAAATTACACTTCAAGGTTCCGTTAACCATTTCTTTCAAGGTGGAATAGGTAACTGCACAGCATCTATTGTACAATACCAACCAGTAATTCACATAGTTGAAGATACAATTGCCCAAGTTAAAAGGAACAGTGTCGTATAACTCACTTGCAGTACATGAGGCACTGCTTCTAGCAGCTCCATTAATTTAGAATACCCGTAGTCAGACACACGGCATTGTTTTGCAAAGTGATGATGGTATGTTGGGATGAATTTACTGACAGGTATGACGCAGGACGGCTGACTTTTAAGTAGATCTATCACTTCTCTACTGAACTGAATGAGTTGTGGATTACCTACAGGGCTCTTAGAACGTAGAAGCCAAGGATCTAAAAAAATAAAATAATCATATTACTGAACCTTTCACTAACATATTCTTCCACTAAACACTGCACTTCATAAAGCACAAGAGAAAAAATAAACATTCAAGCTAAAAGTTTCTATTTATAAAAAGTTTAACAGTTATACACGTTTACTTTATGTTACTCTTAATTTTTTGGCGGAATGATTAGTTCAGAGAAGAGATTCTAAATAGAAATATTTACCTGTAGTAGGAGGTGGTGGTTTGTTATGTATCCATTTAATAACTTTAATGCCATTTTGGGCAGTGGCAATGTTAACTCCAGGAACACAGGTAATTAGATGTTCTAAAGGAACACCACCCTGGCCTTCTGGCACCATTTCAAGATCACTGAACTCTGACATATAACAATCAGGAAAACTTTGGAAGGAAAAGAAAGCTTCCATTATACACTTCCAATACACATATTTTAGCAGCACATACCAGGCAGTTAACAG